ACACAAAGACATGACATTGGTTTGCAGAACAAAGAGAAATTGGCCCCTTGGAGGCTTCCATGGCCTTGTTACTGAGCCAAGCAGAGGAAAACACACAAACACTCACAAGCCCACAGCTTCTTGAACAAACCAAGAGATTTATTCAGAGCTCCTAGACAGACCGTTGACAGATTTGTCTAAAGTTTGTATCCATTACTGGACACATATCTTCTTCTGTCATTGAGTTTGGGAGCCTACAGTAATTTCCTCTTTAGTCACTGAGTGTCTAGAGTGCTGCCAGCAAAGACTTCTGCCACAGCAATGGTTGAATATCACCCTACTTGTAAGACCAGACCTTTTAAATAACATTCAACAGAAACGTATGGGGCCAGGAAATACTAGAACTGTCTGTTCCCATTAGTCCAAACTTTGTTTATTGCAACATTCAGAACATCAGCTAGACAAATTACATAATCTTACACACTTTTGTTGTGATATTTGTAGCATAATTTTTTTTACCTTTGAAAAAGTCATTTGTTATATTAGCAAAACAAACAGTTTGTACACAAAAATCTGTGCGTAAGCCATGTGTATGACCGATTTCTACACAAAGCTGATGTTTATCAGGCTTTTCCTACCTAAAATTGTACACAGAGTACAACTCTGAACTGTTTCAAACCATGTGAACGACAAATGATGAAGGCCTGGCTGTCTTAAAAATGTAAATACATACCTTTTAACTAAATGCATATTAAAACTGCATTCATTAAAATACTTTAATAGTTAATAATTAAATTTGTAATATAATATACAATACAAATCGATACAGATCGTCATCTCTGGCCATTACTGGGCTAATGGAGGACATAACAAGTGCTATGGATGAGAGGAAATACACGTTGGGAATATTTATTGACCTAAAAAAAGCATTTGACCCAATCAATCATGCATTATTAATGGATAAGTTAGAAAACTATGGGATCAGGGGATTGGTTTTGAATTGGATTAGAAGTTACTTGACACAGAGGCGTCAATTTGTGAAGTTGGGTGAATACCAATCGAGTGAGCTGGACATTGTATGTGGAGTGCCTCAGGGTTCTGTTTTGGGACCTAAATTATTTATACTATATATTAATGATATATGCAAGGTTTCTGATTTAGTGAAAGTGGTTTTGTTTGCTGATGACACTACCATATGGGCATCGGGTGAAAACCTACAGCAACTCTCTGGACGGGTTACACAGGAACTTGAGAAGATAAAGAAATGGTGTGATAGTAATATACTATCTCTGAATTTGGATAAAACTAAATTTATGGTATTTGGGAATCGCAGATTAGACAATGAAAAAAATACCATACTTAGAGTATGGCGTTGAAAACTTGGGAAATACATACAAAAGCTCACTTCAACCATTGTATATATTACAAAAAAGAGTGATAAGAATTGTGCATAAGATGGGATATAGGGATCACACCAATGTAGCTTTCATACAGTCTAAATTGTTAAAATTTTTTGATTTAGTGGGATATAAGACTGCTGTGTTTATGTATAAAGCCAGGAACAATTTATTACCTGGGGGAATTCAAAAACTATTTAATGAAAGGGAAGGGGGATACAATTTAAGGGGTCAGTTAAATTTAAAAATTCATGCTATACGTACAACCAAAAAAAAGATTTTGTATTTCCATAAGTGGGGTAAAACTATGGAATAATTTAAGTGTGGACATAAAAAATTGTAATAGAATTGGGTGTGTGTGTGTCACCGGAGGAGAGAGAGCCGCACGTTTCCCGCCAACTGGCTGTGTTTTTCTGGATTTTCTCAAATTCAGCCAAAAAACAGAGACAGTCCTGAAGAAATGTCTCACAGTGTTTAACTTTAGCTTCTGTTTTGTGTTTTTGTAGCAAAGATGCTGTATTGTAGCGCAACTGTGCTGTGGCCGCTGAGTGAGCTGCTTGTTTGACATACAGTCTTATAGCTCCCTCTTCTGTTGGAGCCTCGTCATAGGCACTGAACATTCCCTTTTAAATCATTTTTTCAGACCATTCAATAAATCTCTTTGTTTCACTACAATATTCGTTTAAACTCAATGTGGTAAGCCATTTGTTTAACAACTGATACAAAATGGAACTTAGTGAGCCAGATGGGCATTTCTTCCAACTCTGAATAATATCACAATCAGCCATAATGAAAAAATAATATGCCACATGTGACGCTGTCCGTTACGAAAGACTCCTGGCCCAGTGCCAACGGTCGTCCATCGAAAATTCTACGTCAGACTGGTTCTGGCGCGCGACGGACCTTGGGCTTACCCCAGCCGAAAAACACTGTTTTATCTCAACGGGACAGTGGCCACCATAAGCTGATATGCAATTCCCCAGTAAACCTGTTTCCACCCGGACACCATACACTGCTGTACAAGGCACGTTAAATCCACAGCGAATTTTCACAGTCGAACCTAAATTGTTCAGCCGTGATACGCTTGTGGACACCGTTTTAATTAGCCTGTTGTACAGTTAACCTTCCCACACATTTCATAATAAACTGGTGATTTCCCTGTGCCGTTATTACATGTGGAATATATCAAAGAGCATCTGTTTGATTGAGATGACTCTCTGCTTATTCTCCAGCCGGAGGGAAATTAAAAAGGAAATGGGAAATTTGGGGAGACAACTGCTACTTAAGTAGCAGAAATTCACTTATAAAACATGAATTTTACGTCCCTTATTGATATCAAATTCTGTAATCACAGCACTCATTCACCATCCCTCAAAAATGTGTCTATGTGCTTGTAAACTTTTACATGTGACAGGGAACAAATCAGCACATCATTCAAAAACAAAAAAAAAGTGTTTTATTATCCTTAAGTTTTGAATCC